TTTTTTGGTGATCTAACATCTGTTTCCTTATATTAGCATCTTTTAAAAAATCTTGTGTTCCAATCACTTTCTTAGTAATTTATCACTTTATTTAAAAAAAGTATGTGGTCTTGGGGAGCAGGATGTTAGTGGGTTAAGAGGCTTGAGTTTCACATACAGTGCTTGCTGACTCCACTTTTGCCTGTATTGCCCTGGGAGGCAGTGGGGATGTGTCAAGCAATTGAATTCCTGCCATTCCTGAGGATAGTGGATTGAATTCCTGGTTCCTACTTCCAGCACTGTCTTAGCCAAGACCCACTGTGCCGGTTTTGAGAAGCAAGTCAGTGGTCGGCAGTTCTCTCTTCTCACTCTTTCAATCTCTCTGAAAGTATGCTTTCTCTTTTTAAAAAAACAGCCTTGGGCACGGAATGGTAGCCTAGTGGCTAAAGTCCTCACCTTGCACGTACTGGGGTCCCATATGGGTGCTGGTTCATGTCCCAGCTGCTTCACTTCCAGTCCAGCTCCATGCTTGTGGCCTGGGAAAGCAGTCAAGGACAGCCCAAAGCCTAGGGACCCTGCACCCATGTGGGAGACCTGGAAAACGCTCTGAGTTTCTAGTATCGGATCGGCTCAGCTCTGGCCAGTGGGGCACTTGTGGAGTGAATCAGCGGTTGGAAGATGTTTCTCTGTCTCTTCTTCTCTTTGTAAATCTGACTTTCCAATAAAAATAAATAAATCTTAGAAAAAATAGCCCTTGATTTTACTGTGTTTTGTCTATCTCTCTGTCTTCTAAGTAGTTGATTTACTATTTTCTTTCTTCTGCTTACTTCATTTGCATTTTTTCTGGTCATTTAAAATTCATTGGGAATTATTTTACTGCTAAATTAACTCCTTTAATACTGTTGCAATGTTTTCTTTTCCCAGCTGCAGTAGTTTGGTTCTTCAGTCTTTATTATATATATTTCCATAAAGCAATTTGGTTTGTGCTTACACGTTAACTTTTTTGGACCATGTTTTAATTTCTTTGTATATTGTAGCTGCTGGATAAACAAATCTTGCATTTTTGGTAATATTCTCTTTTAACTGAAGTGTCTAAACCGTTTATGTTTTTGGAAATATACTGATTCTGTTTTTCCATAGAACCCTAGGTAGTACGCTGCTCATTTTTAGGTAAACCTAGAACTGCTCTAAGAAATGAACTGCTGGGCAGTGGTAATCAAAATAGCCTGGTACTGATACAGAAACTGAGATCAGTGGAGTAAAATTAAAACCTCGGAAGTGAGCCCACACATGCCCACCTAACTAATCTGTGACAAGAGAATTGAGAATAGCTCTGGGGAAAAGTTTGATCTCTTCAGCAGATGCTCTTGAGATAGTTGGATATCAGCCTGCAGAAATAAGAAATAAGACCCCCCCACACACACCTGTAACCTTATAAAAATCATCTCTACATGGGTCAAGGCCCTAAACCTGTATCACAAAAGCATTAAAATGTTAGAGGAAACTTAGGAATCACTTTCCCAGACATAGGAATTGGGAAAAAATGTTCAGAAAACTAACTAAAAGCACAGGTGGTCAAAGGCAAAATAAACAAGTGTGACTGCATCAAACTAAGAAGCTTCAAAACAGCAAAGCAAATTCTCACCAAAGTGAAGAGGCAATGAATGGAATAGGAGAAAATATTTGCGTATGAGACAACTGATAGTGAACTAATATTTAGGATTTGCAAAGAGCTTCAGTTATTCAGTGACAGCAAAACAAAAAACCTTGTGATGAGATGGACAAAGTAAATGAACAGACATTTTTCAAAAGAAGAAATTCAGATGGCTAATATACATATGAAAAAAATGCTCAAGCTATGTAGCCATCAGGCAAATACAAATAAAACCTATATTGAGGTTCCATCTAACTCCAGTGACATTGGCCTGCATTCAGAACTTGCTGACAACACCTACTGATGTGGGGAGCAAGGTACCCTCCTTCGCTGTTGTTGGGAGTGTAGGCTAATATAGCCACTATGGAAGTCAACATGACGAGTGCTCAATTGAAATTGAGCTACTTGTGACTAAGCTATCCAACTCCTAGGAATATTGCCAAAGGAAGGAATATCTGTCTATGAGAAAGGGACCAGCAACCCTGTATTTATAGCAGCACAATCTGCAATAGCAAAGATATAGAAACAACTCAGATATTATTCTGCCATTAAAAAGAATGAAATGTTGTTTGCAACCAACTGGTCCCAATTGAAGATCATTATACTCAGTTAAATAAGCCAATCCCCAAGGGACAAATAATGTATGTTTTCTGTGATCAAGTTTTACACATAAAATAAACCACTATACTATGAATTTGCCAATGGAACTCTGGGTTGCTTCTACTGCTTGACTGTTGTGGGCAGTATTTCTGTCAACACTGGTGTACGGATGTGTGTCTGAGTCCCTACTTTGAATACATTTAGTTTTGCAATAGTACTTGTATAGCTGGTATGTACTTATTCACATTTAGAATTCTAGTTGCTGAATCGCTTTTATTATGTCATGTTTTAAAAAGAACATTTGTGGTTCCTTTCCTGGCTGCTCCACTTTTCTAGCTCCATGCTTGTGGCTTGGGAAAACAGCAGAGGATGGCCCAAAGCTTTGGGACCCTCACCCATGTGGGAGACCCAAAGGAAGCTCCTGGCTCCTGGCTCCTGGCTCCTGGTTCCTGATTTTGGATCAACTTAGCTCTGGCCATTGCAACCACTTGGGGAGTGAATCAACTGATGAAAAATTTCTCTCTGTCTCTGCTTCTCTCTGTATATCTACCTTAACAATTAAAAAATAATCTTTTAAGGAAAAAAGAATAGTCGTGGCACATGTGATAAATATTTAATTATAAAGATTCAAATCTGTACTGTGTAGATTGAAGGAGTTTTCAGTGGAAATTCTTCATTATACTTTTTGTGTGTGTGATTCACTGGCTTCGGAGTAAAATGAAAGTTTATGCTATTGCTTTTCTTTATATGAAGCAGAAAGAATGATTTTTGGCAGTTCCTTCCTCTATCTCTTTTCAATGTTAATGAAATTTTAAAAGTCTGTGTCAAGTTCTCCAGCTGACAGGAAAAATTTGAGGAGTTCCTTTTTGTTCAGTTTATCATTCAAAATGTTTTGAACAAAGTAAATATCACATATTTGTATTCATAACTATTCTTTATAACAGGAGAAGATGGAGATGAAAATATTACAGGGTTGATGTTGCATAAACAGTCAGTATGGTGATTTTTAAAAAAGCGTTGAGTTAGGTCTCATCATTAGGTTGTGATTTTGGACTTGCAGTTTTTCTTTTCTGAACTTAGTTTTCTTTAAGAGACTGTTAAGATGGTAATACTTGTTACTGTTTCATAATTATCATGGCTGATGAGGAAATATATGTGATAGGCTTTGAAATCTTTAAAGTGGTATGTAGATACCATGTCTTCCAATATTTCTCCTATGATTCTCTCTAGCAGCTTGATGGTTTTAGGTCTTTTGTTGAAATCCTTGATATATTGTGAGTTATTTTTTTGTATAGTGTGTAAGGAAGGAGTCTTTTTTGTTTCATATGTCTGCAAATGGAGATCCAGTTTTCCAAACACCATCTGTTGAAAAGACTGTCCCTTCTCCAGGAAGTCTTTTTAGGTTGTTTGGCAAACATTAGTTAGATACATGTATTAGTTTCCTGGGTTTCTATTTTATTTCTTTAGTCTACATGTAAATGAGCTCAATTCTCCAATTAAATGATACAGATTGCCTTAGTGAAAAAACAAGACCCATCTATCTGCTACCTACAAGAAACACACATTACAACACAAACATACCCTGAAAGCAAAAGATTGAAAAATATTCTATGCAAGTGGAAATAAAAAGCAAGCAAGAGTAGATATGTTAATACCAGACAAGGTCATTATGTAATGATTAAAGGATCTATTCAATGGAAATATGTGAGTTCAAAAATTTGTATGCACTGGTACTGATGCCATCCCATAAGGGTGCTGGATTGAGTCCCTGCTGCTCCTCTTACAATCAAGCTCCCTGCTTATGGCCTGTGAAAGTAGTGCAGCATGCTCCAAATGCTTGGGCCCCTGCAACCATGCGTGAAACCCTGAGCTAGCTCCAGGCTCCTGGCTTTGGATTTTCTCAGCTCTAGCCATTCCAACCATTTGGGACACAATCTAGCAGATGGAGAAGATCTCTCTCTGCCTCTATAACTATGGCTTCATAAGCGAGCTTGGCAAATTTGCAGAATGTGAAATGAACATATAAAAATCAATAGCATATGTGTTCACAAGCAGCACAGAACTGAGAAAGAATTTGTAAGATCTTTCCCAAAAAGTTTTAGATACCTTAGAGAAAATTTAACCAAGATGTGAAAACTTACCACAATGAAATTTACAAAATATTAAGGAAACAGAAACACACACACATGAAAAACAAAACAAAACAAAACAACAGCCTCTACATACATGGATTTGAATAGTTAATGTCATAACGTCCATACTATCCAAAGCTATTTACGCACTTGCTGAGGAACCAATGAAGGAATTCTCAAATCTAGAAAATGACCCAAAAAGTTATATGAATACATAGGAGAACTCATGTAGTTACAGTAATATTAAACAGTAAAAGCAAACCCAGAAACATACTGTCACATTTCACATAGAAGGACAATCATAATCAAAACAGCCTAACATGAAACATTTAAACTGCAGAGGGATTTAAATAAGGCATAGTAATGTTTTCAATATAGGATACTAATAATATAATTAGTGATGTAAAGGATCTGAGTTATACTTTTTTTGAAAATTATGATTTTAAAATGCTTATTCATGCTAAAATCATGCTAATCATACTATAGCACTTTGGAAATTTAGAAACATAGTGTGTCATCATTAGAAGAAATGCAGAAGTTAACTGGAAAACGTTAAAGAAGAATCTACATTGATTTAGAAATATGATTAGCTATGAAAATGAATATAAGTAAATGTCATATTATTTCTTTTCTAGATTTATTGTCTAGGATAGATTTGGATGAACTCATGAAAAAAGATGAACCTCCTCTTGATTTTCCTGATACCCTGGAAGGATTTGAATATGCTTTTAATGAAAGTAAGTATATATTGTGTATGAAGAATTTATTTATCCATGCAAGTAGGATCATAGAAAAGTTATTATTTGCTACTTTAAAGGCTAGCTAGATGTTTTATTTATTTATTTTGAGTAGTAATGACTTAATGCTTGCATGGTAAAATCCTTCACTCAAGTGAAAAAACCAACTAATAATTTCTCATAGTTTTCAATTCATATAAATTAATGGTTATGAACTTGTTAAATGTGCACATTTCAACCTTGACCATCTAGCACCTCGATGTTCAGTTGGAATTCCTAATAAAATGATATAGAAAGATCAAATGGGTTTATATCTTACTTAAAATGAAGTGACTGGCAAAAGATTATATGTGATGATACTTAAAAATAAAAATATACAGTTTTCTGTAATTTTTCAGACAGCATTCTTGCTTTAAAACTTATTAAGTATTATGTAAAATAACCATTATAGGTAGAATGTGGTGGACTCTACTATCGATTTCAAGAATGTTTCCGGCACAACAAAAGCAAAAAACACTGACTTGGATTAATCAGACATTGTTATGCTGGAAGAGTAACGTTAATACAGGGAAGATGGCATTTTAGTCGTGGCTTTCTATTTGTTGCTCTGCCTAAAGTGAATTTGTCATCTTCGGATTGGTGACTATCTCATTGTATTATCAGTCAAAGATATTAGGACTTATAGCGACAGCCTCCAAATACTAGACTGTTAAATGAATTAAATAAAAGATACCCCAAATTTTCAATCTAATTTTCATGCTTTTTTTAATAAAGGATTTTCTTTGCCAGTGCATGTATGTGTGAGTAGTACTATTTTATTGATTGCATGGCAGAGAAAGATATTGATAGTTAAATATTTTAGTAAACATACAATGACATTTGCTGCTAATATTTTTACACTACTTTGGGCAAGATGACTAATTAACTATTGCTAATGGTAAACAAACTGTGTTCTTTGGATATATGAGAATGTTTCTCTAAAGATGATCACATAAGCAGCACATCTCCTTGGTGTATAAAAAGGAAACATCTGTGGGCCAGACTGTCAGCACTGGGGGAGCATTCTGTAAGCCTCATTTAGAAACCTTACCTGCTCCAGGCTGGAGAGTGCTAAAAGGGTCCTGCAAAAACTGCCAGGGACACCTCTTCCTGCTTTGTTTGTACCCGTGAAATTATCAGAATTTAGCAATTAGTAAATAAATAATTAGCAGTTAATCATTAAATCAAATAATTTAATATTAAATAATAAATAGTAAACAAATAATAAGTAACTAGTAATCAGTAAAGATGAGTTGTTTTCACTAAAGATCTCTGATTTAACAGAGTCTGGTTCATCCTCACTAGCCCTTCCCAATTTCCATTTGCTACTCTATCCAAATTTCTAGGCCTGTTGCAGAAATCTCATCCAGCCCATGGGAATTGTTTGTTGGTCCAAAATCATTGTAGACTTTATTGTCTCCATGATTCACCTGTAGCAAGTTTTGGATTGCTGTCTTATTTGATTCTTGTTTGTTTGGTATATGTGCTTTTTACTCCTCAAGTGTGGAGCTTGTTCATGGAAACTGATGGAGATATCTGTAGTGGACTTGAAAGTATTGTTAACATGATTTGGATTAAAGAAAGTTCAAGAAGGATAGTTTCTGATAAACAGACAACAATTTTTATATTGTTGATGTGTTTGTTCTCATGATAGTTGAAGAGAATATACTATGAAAAATTAAAGTTTTGGAAAATGACCGAAAAAAATTAATTTTAAATTTGTGTCAGACATTATTTGTCCATATTGTTGTGAGTACAATATTAATTGTCATAATATTATTCGTCTTCTAGAGGGGCAATTAAGGCACATAAAAACTGGAGAACCATTTGTTTTTAACTACCGAGAAGATTTGCACAGATGGAACCAGAAAAGATACGAGGCTTTAGGAGAGGTATGTAAGAAATACTCTTTGCATTTGTTTTCCTTCAGAAGAAGCTCCTGGTTCCTGGCTTCAGTCTGGCTCAGCTCAGGCCATGGCAGCCACTTGGGGAGTGAAGCAGCAAATGGAAGATCTTCCTCTCTATTTCTCCTTCTCTCTTTAACTCTGACTTTACAATAAAAAAAGAAAGAATGAAAGACAAGAAAAGAAGGAAGGAAGGAAAAAAGGATGGGTTAGTGCCACTTAATGAGATTTTTAGATTAAAAATTAGTCACAAAATGGAGTAAAAAAATGTGATTGATTGAGCATTTGGCCTAGTGATTGATGTGACAGTCGGAATGCCTGAGTCTCGTGTTAGAGTGCCTCGGCTGTCAGCCAGTGTGTAGTCTAGTTAGCAGCAGGTAATGAACAACTCAAGCACTCGGGGCCTTGCCTTCTTTACGGCTGTTGTGGGCTTCCTGGTTATTGTGGAGACTTGGAAAGTGAGCAGTTGGATAGTTGATGAATAAATCAGTAGGTTGCACATCTCTCTCTCTCTCTTTTTGCTTTTCAATAAATTTGTAAAATTTCTGAAGGTAATAATGTTAGTGAAACTGAAGATAAAGATTTTGCTGCATTTCTTTTATACTGTTGTTCTTTTATACTGTGTAATAAGAGATCCTAATGCAAGGATGACCAGTGTGGCACAGTATGTTAAGCTCCTACATAGGATGCCCAGATTCCGATTTGTTTTTCTTGATGGTCTTTGAATTCCTGGATAAACAAAATGTCAGAGAAAATGCATGAAATAATTACTGAGACATTGACTGTTGTCTCGCTGCTTATGTGGAACTTTGGAACTGCAGTGGAGGGCATACAACATAACCTGGATCTGTCACTGCATTGTCCATGCAGAGTTCATGGTTGGGGAGGCTGTGGCGGTGTTTGTAATTTACAGAACAGTGTTTGGAGAGGAGTCAGATGCACAAAGTGGTAAAAAGAGGACTCTGTAGAGATCTGTAGTGAGCTTACCTTGAGCTTTTGACTGAGTGCAGATCAGTGCATGCATCTTCCAAGACAAGGACTCATCCATTAGAGAGAAGTAAACTTAGAACTCTGACGCTTTCCCAAGCTAAGACTAATTTGTCCTTCCTCCTGTCAGACAGAAGTGATCTTCTATCCATATGACATTGGGTCAATATTTTTCAAATATCATTGTCTTAGTACTGGAACCATATTAGTTCTACACTAAGGCCCACTTAACAATCCCTCTTTCAAGCTTGAAAGCATAGTCATAAGGGTCAAACTGAATCCAAGTAACTTGATTTTGTTTCAGAATCCCAGATGAAAACCTAAGGATATATTTAATGAATACAGTAAAATTCAAGGAGGAATGTAGAATTCACAATGTCTGAAACATAGTCAGAAATCACCCAACATGCTTAAAATTAGGAATATATAACCTGTAACTGGGAGAAAAACGAATCTGTATAAAAAACTCAAAAACTATACAAAAGATAGAAATAGATAAGAGCATTAAAACAGCTATTATAAATTTATGTGTAGTCGAAAAGGATGGGGAAAATGTTACTGGTTCTAAAGAGAGTCCCGCTATCATGATGAATGAATTAAGACATCATAGTCCTAAAAGTTTCTGTACCTAATAACATATGTTCAAAATATAGAGCAAATTCAAAGGAAATGTTAATAAAACCAAAAGTAAAAGTAGGAAAATACAGTGATAAAATTTCCAGCTCCCTCCTCAGTAATTCATAAATAGTAGGACAAAAACTAAGTGGAGATATTAGAAAATTTGAGCAACGTGGTTAACTGACCATTTCTACTCGACAACGTTAGGAGTACATCTTCTTTCAGAATTCTTTCCCCGGGCCTTTTTGGGATATAATACAAATCTCAGTACACTCTAATTGATTCAAGTAATAGGAAGTATAGTTTTGATGACGTACAGTATGTTGTTTCTGAGAGCTGGGAAAATTCTCAGTTTTACTTTTTAGCTTAAAAGTAAGCAGCAGAAATTTATATAACCCATCATTTAAAGAAAAAAAAAGATCCGGGAGAAATAGCAAATGTCCTCAGTGGTGAATTCTCCCTAACATTTGCAAAGATAACACTGGAAGAAATTTGTCATAGTAGGTTTCAGGCCTTCCTTGAAAACAGCATACTTTTAATATAACAAGAAAACCATTTAATATTTGAACATTTCTACATAAGCATGAAATCAGAAAATGAACAACACTTGGCTGTCTTGGCTATGTTAAAATTACACCTTTCTCAACTTATGGGTATCATTTTAGGTAGATTAGGAGAGACTTTGGAAAGTGATTTTTATTAATATTTCATCAGTGAGGTCATTGAATATGTAATGAGATTATTAGTTTTTGATGGTTGATGTGAGCCTGAGAGACTCCTTATTTGACAGATTTCTGGTCTGTTAATGTAGACTTGTTATACTGAAGAACACATTCTTATGTTGACATAATTCAAATTTAAATTTACTGAAGTAATCCTAATGATGATTATTGATATATTGTTCCATTTATTCTCACTTGGGAGATAAGTGATAACAGATGTTCTTTTTTAAATAACTGATTTTTCTGTGCCATCCATGCAAGCACTACTTTTTTTGTGTTTAAGTTCTTGATTGCAGTAGTATCCCTTGGTAATATCCTGATGAATTTAACACTAGATAAACTTTTTGAATGTGAGCAGATGCATTTGCCATTATTCTCTGTAACAGTCACACAGTTTCTCAGAGTCAGAATTTGTAAGAACAAATCTTATTTTGAGAAATGTAATACTTAATACATGAACCTGACATTTCTTTTCAGAAATCAGATTAGTTTATTCTCAAAATGCAAGTTTTCACAACCCTGTTAAAATGAGTTTATTCTTTGAACTTGTATAGAAACCTACATATTGCTAAAATGTTATCAAAAGACCTTTTAACAAGTGCCAAGAAATGAATTATATATTTAGGTTTATTCTTAATACTAGCAGCAGGAAGAGCACATTGTGAGCTAAATTGGTTAATTGAAGTTGGAATCAACACTACCTTTATACATAGATCATATACCAGAAGATAATTAGAAACTGCATTAAGATAATCTTAAGGATCATTATGCTCCAAATATTTTTATGTGGAGAAAATTACACAGATATATTGTATAGAATATATATGAGCTCACTTATGATTGTTACTTGGAAGTAAAACTTTTTATTCTCATTAGCCACAAGTTGAAGGCAATATATGTATATGAGTGATGTAACCATTCCTCCTGTGACAGAAACTTTCAAAATCTTGTATTTTGAGTAAATTCAGAATATAAAGCACCACAGACCACAAAGGCCATGATTTGTCTCTCCGATAAAGTTTTCTAACAGTTATAACTCCAAGTGTTTTTGCTCGCATTCCATACAACCTCTGGCAACCCACTGGAAGTGGCCACTCTCAGGCTTCCCTGCAGATCCAGTGAATCAGTCTGCGTTTAATACTGTCTTCGGGTTGTTAGTATGTCAGTATTTGAGAAGCACCAAACAGCTTCTCTTATCAAGTGGTCGGTTTGTTGGGGCTTTGTCCATTGGCTTGCTTTCTGATAAGGGATTTAGAAATTTGAGTAGTCTTAGGCCTGTGTATTTGTCGTTCCTTCTCTGCCACTTGTTTAACTCATGAAGGAGGCTTCTGGGGTTAAATCACTTTATAGGCAGTACAGCTCAGTGAAGAAAAGATGGCAGAAAAATGATTCTGTGTTTGTAGATTTTGACCACAGACCTACCTTATAATTAAATATAATACTGAATCAATATTAGATACTGTTACGTTTCTTGCTGTATCTGTCACATAAGACTGAACACTTTTATGCAAACTTTTTTTTATGGCTTCAATCTAAGCCCGCAAACCTGTTGTTGCCTATCACTTAGAAATGTAATTCAAGGCCCTAGTTGGTGCCTAGTGGCTAAAATCCTTGTCTTGAAAGCACCAGTTCCCATACGGACGCTGGTTCGTGTCCCGGTTACTCTACTTCCCTTCCACCTCCCTGCTTGTGGTCTGGGAAAGCAGTAGAGGATGGCCCAAACCTTGGGACCCTGTAACCATGTGGGAGACCTTGAAAAAGCTCCTGGCTCCTGACTTTGGATTGGCTCAGTTCCAGCCGTTGTGGCCACTTTGAAAGTGAATCAGCAGATGGAAGATCTTTCTATCACTCTTTCTCTCTGTGAATCTTACTTTCCAATAAAAATAAATACATCTTAAAAAGAAAGGAATGTAAGTCAGTTAACTTGCATCATGCCTTTTATGCTTCTCTTGAAATGTGCAAATAAATGTAGTAGCTGATCTGAAAATCCATGGCTTGTTTTACTCTTTTCTCTGATATATTTTCAGGAATGAAAATGGATTCAGGGATCCCTTCTGCTTCTAGATTCAGAAAATTTTCTTTTTTAAAAATTAGTTTAATTGAAAAAGCAAAATTAGAGAGCAAGAGAAAGAGAGAGCGAGTTCTTCTGTGTTCTGGTTATCTCTCCACATGACCACAGCAGCCAGGAACTTAGGGTTGACATCATAAGTGAGAATATGACTCCATCATGTTCTATGTGAGTGACTGGATACCAAGTACTTGGATCGTCTTTTGTTGTTTTCCCAGGAACTTTACTAAGGAGCTAGTTCCGAATTAGAGTACGTAGGACATGAACTGACACTCATAAGGGATGCCAGCTTTGCAGACGGGAGCATAAGCCACAATGCCACAACACTAGCCATCTTCTTGATTTTGTACTAGAAGGTGTGTGTGTATATATGTATGTATATATATATACACACACACATCTAGAAACATGTTTCTAGATGAACTTTTATATATATATTCATACATACACGCAATTATATATATTATATATGTCTGTATATAAAGTATATGTATATATATATATATATATATATAATTTTTCATGATATGGTTCCATAGGCAGAGGGATTTCCCCCTTCCACCCCTTGTATCCCCAACAGTTTTCAACAAATT